TTTTCCGCCAGGCAGCTTTCCAGCCACTCTTCCCCAAGCCTGTAGCGCTGCATGGGGTTGTTGTGGCTGAAGTGCAGGACCCGGCACTTGGCCTTGTTGAATCTCATACAGTTGGCCTTGGCCCATCGATCCAGCCTGTCCAGGTCCCTCTGCAGAGCCTTCCTACCCTCGAGCAGATCAACACTGCCGCCCAACTTGGTGTCATCTGCAAACTTACTGAGGGTGCACTCGATCCCCTCATCCAGATCATTGATAAAGATATTGAACAGAACTGGCCCCAATACTGAGCCCTGGGGAACACCGCTCGTGACCGGCCGCCAACTGGATTGAACTCCATTTACCACAACTCTCTGGGCCCGGCCGTCCAGCCAGTTTTTGACCCAGCGCAGAGTACACCTGTCTAAGCCGTGAGCCGCCAGCTTCTCCAGGAGAATGCCGTGAGAATCATCTCACAAAGTAACTGTGTTAGGTTCAGAGCTTCCAGATTTCCCTGCAGGAGCTCCTTCTTTAGCGCTAGTTCTGCAAGTATCTACTTACAATAGTGGAATGAATCATTTAAAAAATGATGATGTGTCAAATTCCACATAAACTGGATTTTTTACTAGTGCTTCCAGGGGAAACAGCCTACAAGTTGTCAGGAAGATTAGATCTGCTGTGATAAAAGAACTACCTTTCTGGGTGACCTCTTTCTTTACCCAGTTTGCATCATCTCCTCTCATACTAAGTGGCTAAGAAGAATTCTAGGCAGAGATGGGAACTATGAAATATGATTTCTGTGCCTGCTGTCTTCAGAGTCACAGCACAGGTGCTTCCCGCACAGCTATTTACAATTCTAATATGGAATTTTAAATAATTCTAGAGAAAAAAAAAGTCACCTTTGCTCTATACTCCATTGGTCTTTCCGACAAGATTTTTCTGACTCTTCTTGCTTTTAGAGAAAATTAAAACCCATTTACAAACAGAATTTGAGAGGTTGACACTGTTAGCAAGTCTGATGTCTCTTGTCCATTCTCCAGTGCTGCACAAGAGGCTGTTTGTCCCGGTGCCATGCTGGAAAGATGTACGGTGCATAGCTAGTCTTGTGGAGGAGATGTACTAGCTCAGGTTTTAGCTGATGTTGGAAGCTTCACATTGCATTTTTAATTACTGGAGGACAGCTAAGAGGAGACAGAGGCATGAAGTCACTGTTTACCAGCTTATTATGGAGTCCCTTATTCAATCCAGAAATATAATGAATGTATTACTAATGGGAACTGCTCTGTGAAAACTGGTGTTTGTAGTGAATCCAGATGTCCTCCCATGCTAGGATCGTACTGCATAATTATTATATACCTACAAATTCTTGAGAATGTTTACGGTTTTTTTACCATCTAAGAACAGAACTTTGTCTTGTTTATATTCTCCATTTTCTTAAATTACTTAAATTCCTCTCTTCCAAGCACTAGGCAATTTAGATAAAAGTAGCAGGATCAGACATTGTGGCAATGTGGAACTGCATTTTCTACATTTTCTGGCTGTGAGTCTATGGAAACTTCACCTACGGAATTCCTCAAGTAGTAAATAAATAATGGAGGAGTAATTTCTCATGGGTGTATTCCTCCAGGAAGGCTGCTGACTTTTCTAGTATATAAATGAATAGGTCAAAAAGTAGAGAGGAATAGAAGTCTAAATTTGTACAAACCCCAAAGGTAGGCTGTAAATGAAAATGATATACTGTAAGTGTGCATCTGCATTTAGTCTAGCTGTAAGTCTAACAGTAACACTTAAACTTACGAAGAGTACCTAATAGAATATTGGAAGCACCAGAGTAAAGAGAAATGTTCTCTGACTGCCTTTTTCCTTACTTCCACAAGGCAAAACAAAAATAAATGAGGTCCTGGAGGACAGTGAATGAAATTTGCCAGCTCTGGAGAAATTAACTTCTGCTTCTCCCAGGCATTCAGAATGACTGGCTTGAGAGATGCTAGAGAGCAATACATTTTTCAAAGTGCCAAAGAACATTTAAGGAAATGAAACATTTAAGGAAAAAGTAGGTAAGAAATTTTAAGACATCATAGCCTCAATGGCTTCTGTTCAAGTGGAAGTATTAATTCTCTTTTCTTTTCAGCTGGTGGTGTCCCGAAGCACTTCAGAAATTTTTCTCTCTCCTTATTAAAAAGAAAAAAACACAAGCTGTTTACTCAGGTTGCTCAGACTAATCCATGGGACTAGGATCTGCAGAGTTCCTTTTTGTACTTACTCAGTGAAGTGCTTCAGCAGCCAGTTGCGGGGATATTAGGGTGAGGATCTGTGTCCATGAAAGGAGCAATAGCACCAAAGACCTGTACGCTTACAGACAGGAGAACCTCCTGCAGGAATAGCCACAAAAGACTATTGTGGGCTATGCAGACAACCATATCACGAAACTGGAGGTAGAGGAAGAAATTTTGTATGACATGGAAATAATTCCATTTTCCCCTTTGTCTCAGCTTGACTATCCTGACTTTCATAATACAAATTACTATAAAAAGAAAATGGAGCATTTATGGTACTGCCTGAGATTCGCTGGCCGCCTGAAACTTGTGTTTCAGACTCGGTGTCCTGGCAGTATGGCAGGTTCAAAGCAAAGCGTTGCCCGTGGGATTTATGTAGACATTTTCAGCAGGCCTACGGGAAACAGATTTGTCACCAGAGAATTAAACTCCTCCATCCTAAATTTCAGGTTTCTACTATGTGCTGAGGCTGAAAAACGGGCTTGAGAATAATCCCTGTATTTCTTCCACTTAGGTCCAGTTTTGCTCTAAATTTACCTGCAAATGATATGAGAAATATTTCAACTTCAGCCTGAAATGTAAGAGAAGAAAGTGTCGGCATTAGGAAAAGTTCTCTAACCGTAAATCTCAGTTTAGGTTGTGTGACCTCACTAGCGTACGTCGGGCTGATGGCCTCAGGTGCAGAGGGAGGAGGCACCCGTTCCCTGGGGATCGCTCGGTGGGCCCACGGGACCCCCTGTCATCTGCCGCCAGGTACGGCGACCGCCCCTTGCC